GGGCAGGCTCTGATGAGGAACAAATGAAGAGGAAAAACAAAGCTCCTTATATACAAGATTCTGGGGAGTGGCCAATTTGTGGTTGGAAGATGGATGGAACAAAATGGAACAAAGACTGAACAAGGAAGGAAATTGTAACTATGAACAATGTGGCCTAATTTAGTGTGGCACTAAGATAAGCTAAGACCAGACTGAAACCAAAGGGAGGGACAAGCTAAGATAAGGTAATGAATTCATTCTGAAACAAAGAGAGGATTGGATAATCTTATCAAGGGGAAGAGGTGGGGGAAATTATTTCACCCAGACAAGGATTGAACAGGCAATGGGAAGAAAGTACCAAAAGAGGACTAGTATGAAACATAGCTGTTGTGTGGTAATTTCTGGAATAAGATGGAAGGAGATAAGAGATAGGGAATATTTTTAGAGGGGTTTGAGGTTATATTGAGAAGGGGTACTAGTGTGTAGTTGGTGTGTGGGCTAAGTCTTATCAAGAGTGAACTAGGAATTTGGTCTTGGGTTTCATTTGAGGAGTTTCAGAGGTGTGGGAGATGTTATTATCCATGAGGGGGGGGGGGTAATTGTGTGGATACCTAGTGTGTTGGATTTGTTTGAGAGCCTGGGGAATTCCTGAAGGGTCTTGGTCCTGGGATTCCTGTGTGATATGTGGTCTTGCTGTGCCTTGAGATTCAGGATTGGCTTACCACAGCAGGTCAGGGTTGGGTTGGGTTGGGTTGCAGTTGACTTTCCGGGTCAGGCTTGGAGCAGGTTTTTGGAGCATATTTACATGTCTAAGCAATAAAAATAGAAAAAGACTAATTTTTGTAACTTTCAACTTATTGTGTATTTTATTTTATTCAATCAACTAACTAATTGTGTAATTTATTTAATTTGATTGTATATTTTGTCAGTCTTACTTTCTTTTATTTTTTATATTTTATTTATCAGAGGATTGTTGTTTTCTTCATCAGGTGAAAGGAGAATCACTCGCTTCTTGTAGTGGGTCAGCGGGGGCTTGATGCAAGCGCAAGCCATTCTTGGAGCAGGAGTGGTGGTCTCAGACTGGCGTCAATGGTATTGCAAAGAGAGGAGGAGTCAATCAATTGATCTCTGTCCAGATGGAGTGTACTAGCTCAAGCAATGGGAGAGTTGCACTTGCAGGTCGCTTGCAATTATTGATTGCAGGTTTCTTGAAAATCAGTCACTTGGCCGTACAATCCTGAGGTTGATGGGATGGCGTACAAGGAGAGGATGCAATCAAAAGCTAAGCGTCCTTGGAAGATTTTTGGTGAATATTGAATTAATCTTGAGATTGTGACTCGTATTGATGACCAATTGAAGGAAGATTTTGAAGCGGCAACTTGCAAGGATCCTGAAGTTAGTTGCCTTCTGAAGCCGACCCACAGACCAGAGGTCACCCACCAGACTGCCCTTAAGCGGTTTGGTAGTCGGGTTTTTAGGCCAACCCAAAATCAAAACTTGCTGCCCAAACC